ACGGACAATCACTGATACTGACAATCATATGATAAGCTCCGCTCGACAAAGTCGACAGCGAAGCTAAAAATATAGAAAATGATGTGTAGTGTTCTACCATAAACTGGGGACAATTGTGAAAAACAAAGTTGGTATATATCTGTAGCTTACCTTGACATACTGTCTGAGAAAGAATGGTGACATATCAGGAGGTGGAGTCAGAGGATGGGGCTTCAACAGATTAGTCCCAACAGATATGTTCTCCTGTTGGATAAAAATAAATTACCGATAGAAATAACAATGCACATCATAATTACAGTGCAATTACAGTACATTGTAAGTATTGACTTTAGTTTTTGATGATAGATCTAGGAAGATGACCTACTTCTTCAACCTGTGTTTCTTTCCAGTGATCCAGGAGTGATTTCAGAATAAGTAAACAATAGTCTACAGCTCCACAGCTCAGCAAGGCAGACGCAGTGGCATTAGACACAAGAGATGATGACTGTAAAATCAAATAATCGTCAGAATTAATGTAAACACTTTTAAAAATCACAACATTTTGTAGAAGTGAACATTTCACAAGGGTATTTGAGACAGGGACTAATTTTTGCAAAAATTTGAGTGAAATTTACCAAAACAGGTCACCATAAATTAGTTGTTATCCTATTTTTCTACCACTGTGACATTTTAAGAACTACATGTACTTTAGGAACAATATACTAACAAGAGTCAGTAAAATCTGCTATAGTGCTGAAAAAGCAGGACAATAAAACCGAGCAGCGGGGAATAAAAAAGCACAACATGGAGAATAAAAAAAATAAATAAATAAAAAAAAACACTTGAACCCGAAACATCTGTTTTTTATTCCCCATATTAGCGTTATTGTATTCCCTGCTGGTCAGTTTTATTGTTCTACATGTATTTATTTGATACATCAAAATACATGCTTTATGTAATGGTGTTATATAATGTATGCCACCTGATCACCTGATTGTATTGGTATGTCAAAAGTAGTGCGGTTGGTGTAACTATAAACAATCAGTCAATCATGAAAGCACTCATTTCTTTGAGTTCATGTGTTCCAAACCTTATAGTGTTATGTATACTCACTTCATTAGTCTTTGATCCTGACTTAGTTCTTGACATGAAAACACTAAGTAATCTCATAATTATCAACTGTACTTCATGTCTGGACGTTCTATTGGCTACATCACTGAAATCTTGTTTGGACATATCTAACTCTGAAAGTGTACACTGAAGTAGATGATCCAAAGCAGCTCTGTCCTTTTCTTCATCCCCGTCTAGATCAGAACTCAGCATCAGAATAACCTACCAACAAGTACACAATACATCATGCTTGATATTATGAAATTATTATCAAAGGTCTTTTTGCACTTTAAAGTCAAACTTGCATTTCTCCAACTGATCAGTTTGTCGATCGCTTGTGAAATGTGTGAATTACGGCAACATTTTGAGAAATGGTGCCAATGTATTGCTATAACCAGAAATAGATTAATGACTTCAAACTGATGTTAAAAGTCCCGGTATGCAAATAAGATCAGACACACTAATAAAATTGGGAGGCACACACACAAATAATGTTCTATTACAGAAATAATCAATATCAGATTTATTAAACTTGTGTCTTATTTTACTAAAATTAATACATTCGTTAATAAATTTTATATCATGGGTCACTCATTAGATATACATGTTTTGAAAGTGACACCATAATCTTATATAAATATAAACCACATTCCAACATCATCATTTGTTCAATAAGAGAGACTGCAACAAAGTATCAAGTCAATATAGTTTCAGGTTGCTGTAAATATATTAGTCTGTTGTAGTAATAGTTGATACCATGCTTACCTGCATGAATGGTATAGTTCTGACACCACCAACATCTCTTAACTCAGGTAGATATTGTAAGAGTTTCTGTTTATACCATGCTTACCTGCATGAATGGTATAGCTCTGACACCACCAACATCTCTTAACTCAGGTAAGTATTGTAAGAGTTTCTGTTTATACCATGCTTACCTGCATGAATGGTATACCGGTAGCTCTGACACCACCAACATCTCTTAACTCAGGTAAGTATTGTAAGAGTTTCTGTTTATACCATGCTTACCTGCATGAATGGTATAGCTCTGACACCACCAACATCTCTTAACTCAGGTAAGTATTGTAAGAGTTTCTCTAATAACATAAGTCTCAGTGTATGTAATCGATAACTTGTGTCAATATCATTATCGGTTTCAGACATGTCACATATTTCAGTATGTCCCATTGATGTACTGGGCATTCCACCGCTGCTTGCAATACTACCTGGACCAGTCACTGGTGCTTCTGGTATCGCATCACCATAGGCACTGCTACGACCACTCACTAAAATAGTAAAGTACATTTCAATTAAATACCAGAATACACCCCCCGTCCCAATGTAGCCATGTAATTGTATATGCCAGATAACAATACATACCCTGAATGGGGGAGGGTACACTAGAGGTGAGGGGCAGGGTTAGGATTAAAGTTAGGGTCAAGTGAGTCTAAGGAAATCTACCCTATTTTGCCACCAGGTAATGCTAAAAAGGGGTGCATTATAAATGAAGATCATGACAAAATCTTGAAACATAAAGTGCCTGTGAAATGGCTGCTATTTTCATGCTTAAAATTATCCATTGATGCATAAATATTATTAATTTTTATGTTGCCGATACGTGTAAATAAGACAAATTTCTTCTGCAGTTTTCTCGTCTTTGACTAAATTTGCACTTATGTACTTGTTCGTCAAGGAAGAATGGACCATAATGAACACATAGTATCAATTTTTGTTGCATGGGATTGAGTTAGATGTGAAATATGTTCGTTTTGGTGTAGCTGGTCACGGTGATAGTCACCGACACACGTTTGTACACTGTCGCTGGACAAAATAGAATTTCACGTCGGAATTATCTCGTTATTTAGCAGGTTACTAGGCACGTCACTACACTGTTTTATTTCATCGATCCTCTGAGTAAAACTTTCAAAATTAAAATAAAAGAGAACATATTTTGACATTCTAAACATTAGACTATAGTGATCACTATAAAATAATTAAACAAGCAGCCTATCGGCTGAGATAGCTCCGCTGTTAGTAATGCACATTTCAATTAAAGAACTGAAGACATCATTAGAAAATGAACAATATGAATAGTATCAAAGCAATTGCACTGCGGTTATTAACAAGAAGTCGAAAATATCACTTTTTACCAAAAATGACAAAAATATTCACCAAAATAGAGGATTAAAGATATCATTACAAAATGAACAAATCTGAGAGAGGTCCACATGTAGTACCTATATATGTAATATCAAAGCAATTGCACTTGCGGTTTTTAACAAGAAGTCGAAAATATCACTTTTTACCAAAAATGACAAAATATTCACCAAAATTAGAGAATTGAAGATATCAACATGAAATGAACAAACCTAAGAGAGGTCTACCCAAGGTACATATACACCAAGTATCAAAGCATTCAGGCTTGTAGTTTTCAAGAAGAAGTCAAAAAAGTAAAACATTGACACGGACGACGACGGACAATCACTCACATGATAAGCTCCGCTCGACAAAGTCGACAGCGGAGCTAAAAAAGCAATCTTCTGATTGGTGACTTACATAACCAATCATAATTGTGCATACATTAATAATAATGAGACTATTCTATCTAATTAAACAAAAAAAGCAATCTTCTGATTGGTGACTTACATAACCAATCATACCGGTAATTGTGCATACATTTATAATAATGAGACTATTCTATCTAATTAAACAAACAAGCAGCCTATCGGCTGAGATAGCTCCGCTGTTAGCAATGCACATGGCAATTAAAGAACTGAAGACATGATTAGAAAATGAACAATATGAATAGTATCAAAGCAATCAGACTTACAGTTTTTAACAAGAAGTCGAAAATATCACTTTTTACCAAAAAATTACAAAAATATTCACCAAAATTAGAGAACTGAAGATATCATCACAAAATGAACAAATCTGAGAAAGGTCTACATGTAGTATCTATATATGTAATATCAAAGCAATTGAACTATTGGTTTTTAACAAGAAGTCGAAAATATCACTTTTTACCAAAAATTACAAAAATATTCACCAAAATTAGAGAATTGAAGATATCATCACAAAATAAACAAATCTGAGAGAGGTCCACATGTAGTACCTATATATGTAATATCAAAGCAATCGGACTTGCGGTTTTTAACAAGAAGTCGAAAATATCACTTTTTACCAAAAATGACAAAAATATTCACCAAAATTAGAGAATTGAAGATATCATCACGAAATGAACAAATCTGAGAGAGGTCCACATGTAGTACCTATATATGTAGTATCAAAGCAATTGGACTTGCGGTTTTTAACAAGAAGTCGAAAATATCACTTTTTACCAAAAACGACAAAAGTATTCACCAAAATTAAAGAATTAAAGATATCAACATGAAATGAACAAACCTAAGAGAGGTCTACCCAAGGTACATATACACCAAGTATCAAAGCATTCAGGCTTGTAGTTTTCAAGAAGAAGTCGAAAAAGTAAAACATTGACACGGACGACGGACGACGACGACGGACGACGACGACGGACAATCACTCATATGATAAGCTCCGCTCGACAAAGTCGACAGCGGAGCTAAAAAAGTTAGGGTTAGGGTTTCGTTTTGTTTCATATAAAAGACTAAGCGGGGGCGTGTAGGTTTTGCGCTGATTCACCCCGAGTCAAGGTATATATTCGTTTACACGTTTCCATTTTTTTTTATTCCAATGTTGTAAATTGCATTTTGTTTGTGGGCAAGTTAATGAAGACGATAGAATGTCTAAACATTTGTGCAAACAGTGTTTTAGTAAACTGACAAAACTTTCGAAACCGATAACATATCCCATATATAGACTTGCCCGATCCGGTTTCGTTGCAACAAACACATCCTTTCCTTCAGATACAGCACTAAGTGCTTCCGTTTGATGGTCAGCAATCTCATTCAAAGAGCAAAAAGCTTGCAACACGTTGATTTCTATATTCCAAGATTGTAATGTTACCAAGTATTTTGTTGTTTCTCTCACGAGTTCTGATTGGGTAATGCAAATGTGCCCAAGTGAATCTTATAATCGTTTGAGGGCGTGCGACGTAAAGTAAATCGTGTGAAAATCTGCCAAGGGTTAATGTTGAGGCTTCGGCGGGATAAATGGTTCTTGGCTGACGAAGATGCAATTGAACACAAGTTATACAAGTTATTGTATACGTCATTCAAGAAACGTACTACTCAGGTAATTCACTATCTATTGAGGGAAGGATTGTTTGAATGTTTTTTTTGCAACTGAAAGCGTACTCAACGCAGTTTTGAATAGGGTTGTACAAAAAGATTATTCTCTCAGCGTAACCCTTTGACTGTTTGAAATAAAGATAAAACCCATGTGAGACGAACCATGGACCCCTAGTTCACCATTCTGTATATATGAATTATTAGACAGAACTGGGCGTAGAAGTCGTAACTAAACTTGTCATACTCAATAGTGACACAAGCATACATGTATGCCGATACGAGAACCACGCCAATGTAATGGCATAACTACACACTCGGAGAATTGCTGGCCAACTACATATTACCAGTGAAACATAAACTTAAAAATACGACACTATGTAATTGTAAATTTGTAATTGTAGTACTGTTGTGCAAAGAAACACACAGTTTACACTTTTTTAATTTCTCATACAGATTTTAAAATGTATTATGACACACCTTCATCCCTGTGTGTAGTTGTAGTCAAGGTTTCAGAA